ATTGTAACTAATAAGACAAATTATATAATATCTCTGGATCTACTAATGCTATCAGGGTGATCTAAGTATCAAAATGTAGCTTTTAAAACCAGGAATCTGAAAATATGATTAGGTCATTTTGACCAAATTTCACTTAATCTTTGTTTCGATGTGAAGGGGCACATTTATGAAGCTGTCGAGTAAGAACTGAAGAATTAAACTCTGAAGAGTGCATTTGCTTGTAACATTTTGTAAACCTGAAGCTCCTTAGTAAAAAAAAAAAGCTGTGGGTGGTAAATCCTGGTCCTAGAGGGCCACTACACTACATATTTTACCAGTTTCCCTGCTTCAACACACCTGATTCAATGGTTGAATTACCTCTTCAAGTTCTGTAGAACCCTGTTAATCACTTATTCATTCAAATCAGGCATGTTGGAGCAGTAAAACATAAAACATGCAGAGCAGTGGCCCTCGAGAATCAGGATTGGACATCTCAGGCTTAGATAGTAAGGACAATGTAGATGAATTCTACACAGTTTGATCCTTCAGGTTTTCTGCAGTCTTTTAAAGTGCTACTTTTAAATAATACATTTTACAGCTTTTACTAAAGTTTTTTATTTAAATTTGGAAAGGACTGATCATAAAATAAGATTCTTACATTTGTGTTGAACTCTATTTCTTTAGCTCATCCCGGTGCTTGAATGGAGCATACTGCTCTAACCGACGCTTCCAAATGAAACAACATGCAGATTTYGAGGTTATCCTTACAGAAGATAAGGGCTGGGGGCTGATCGCAGCCAAAGAAATGCCTCCGTAAGATTTTTTTACTTTTACAGTTTGATGTCATTTTACTGTTTTCTTGTTTGTTACAGTACAAAGTATTCTGTGGGTGGAAGGATTAATCATGCTAATTGCCAAAAAAGTGCTGTTCTATTAAATTAAAATGTCCAACCTTATAGTTTACTATTGTTTTGGAATCGTATTTATTATTGTATTTTTTTTTACACACATAGAAACACATTTGTCCTGGAATACTGTGGAGAGGTGTTGGACCACAAGGAGTTCAAAACAAGGGTTAAGGAATACGCTCGCAACAAGAATATCCACTACTATTTTATGTCCCTTAAGAATAATGAGGTATGAGTTTGAAATCAATGATCAGTAATTTGCAGTATTTTGATCATTCTGTTGAAGAGAATGCTGGAAATATTGTGATGCGTTTCTGTAGATTATTGACGCAACATTGAAGGGAAACTGCTCTCGCTTCATGAATCACAGCTGTGAGCCCAACTGTGAGACCCAGAAGGTACAAAAGCAAAAAAAAAACTTGCAGTTTTTCTTTTTTTGTTGTTGTTTTTCCATAAAAGTTGACTGTTTTTATTTGTTTTTCAGTGGACTGTTAATGGCCAGCTACGAGTTGGGTTCTTCACCACCAAAACTGTCACTGCAGGAACTGAACTGACATTTGACTACCAGTTTCAGAGATATGGGTACTGTTTCCCCTTTAGCTGCTTGTCTCGTCTGTTTGTTTTTTTTTTTTTTTTTTTTGCATTTGTTTTAGGGATGCACGATATATAGGCATTACTATCGGCATCAGCCGATATTGGTCATTTTTTAGAATATCGGTCCGATATGTAAAATTGGGCCGATATTAATGTCCGATATTGATTTCCCACTTTTTATCTTTGTGTTTTTGTTTTGGGAGGGGAGATGGTTGGTCGAGTGGCATCTGTTTGATCATGATAGTCATAGCGTCACTGCGTAGCCAGGAATAACTGAAGTAGAGAGTCATGTCAGAGGTCTGGTTTTTTATTTACTGTATCAAAAAAAGACCCAAGTGTGTTTGTGCGTATATGTATAATATAATTTGTGTGTTTGTGTAGTATCGGTAAATTATCGGTTATCAGTGATAACATCAGTAATTATATCGGATATCTATATCGGCTGAAATTTTCATATCAGKAATTAGGGATGCACCGATATGAAAATTTCAGCCGATATCGATATCCGATATAATTATTGCTGTTATGGCCGATAACCGATATTAACCGATATTACACAAACACACAAATTATATTATACATATAAACACCAAACACACTTGGGTCTTTTTTTGATGCAGTAAATAAACAACCAGACATCTGACATGACTCTCTACTTCAGTTATTCCTGGCTACGCAGCATCAATAACACTATCATGATCAAAACAGATACCACTCGACCAGCCACTTCCCCTCCCAAAACARAAACACAAAGATAAAAAGTGGGAAATTAATATCAAGAGTTTTACATATCAGACTGATACGATATTCTAAAAAATGATCAATATCGGCCGATATTGATATTAATGCAGACATATCGTGCATCCCTATCCCTAACTTGTTTACATGATCAAAACATCAGCGGGTACATAAT